CCCCTAGAAATGGAAAACACCACAAGACTCATGGCATCCCATGTGTTAGCAGACTTTCATTTGAGGCATGGTGACACAATCTGATCAGTGGCACAGAGAGTGTGAAACTGCTATGCAAATTTCATAACCTCTGCAGTTACTCTTGATTTTCTACCCATTTGAAAGATAGGAAAAAATTCTCATTCTGGGGATAGATACTAACTTCTATTTTCACAGCTAAACTGAAATGAAAGGCACCGTGCTGATTTATGGGTGCTGAGGGTCCACTGCAACATTTCATATCCACGGAGAAATCTCAAAGCTTTTCAGTTTCCTAATTTTCTAATTTCATACATGACCAGTATTTCATATTGACATTTTTGATGGAATGTTTGTCTCAGATCTCAGTTTTAAAGAGATCAAATGACCTTACTCAATACACTAGGAACTTAAACATAAAATGAATCTTTATCTTGAACCCTTCTTAGAATACTGAAGCAATCCGCTTTGATTTCCACCACTCTAACACAGTATCTTTGACACTCCAGCATAGCGGTGCTTTGGATGCTCTCTAACGAACACAACTCTTTAGCTGTATAACCATATACAGAAATCCAGCAGTGACACCAGACGCTACTTTCTCAATGTCCCCTTGCTTTCCTTTTCCTTCCAGAACACAACATAAATCTGTGATAGTGTACTGAATGATGGGAAAGAGGCATCTGACTACTTACATTTTAAATGCATTTTAAATGTCAGCACCTATTCTATGTGTAATAGCCTGGGAGCCTAGCCTACCTTACACACAGAAGAGACACGAGACACATGAAAATATGGTTTTCTATTCATGAGTTTTTATAACTGCATATTTGCAAGTAGTTCATGAAACTAGCAATGCATTCATTTTCCAAATGAAATGTCCATATCCTGTAGAATAATTCAAACAGGTGCTAATTAGGTGTACAGAAAGGCCACTGAGGATAATTTATGTATCTCTCTGAAACAGAAAAAATGAATAAATGTTAATTGCTTATATTATACAACAAATGATTTTCTAGAATGGCACTAAATTAGCTGCAAATATTATAATTACAAAGTAGTGGGTAATTTACTAAAGATTAATTGAAATGATTTAGGGCAAACAGCATATTTTTGCAAGGCAGCATTAATGCGTTTTGCACAGAAAAGAAAAAAAAAAACCACTACAAAAAATCCTCAGTGGTTTAACAAAGTACTTTATGCACCTCATGAAAGCATCAGTGGCTTCTCTCGTGTGTCCTTCTCTAAGAAAAGCATTACATTTTTGCAGGGGAAATCACTATAGTGTCGATAATAATTAGAATGTCTGAATCAGCCTATTAAAGGACCAAGACAGATCTCAACTGTGTGGGAGCGAGGCAAAAATCAGATTCATTGTGTGTCCAACAGCCTCTTTGGAGAGCTGTACGAACTGCGGCCATTTACTGCACAAGTGCTTCAGTAACTGCACCAGCAGATTGAATACATTCCTCTAAAAGCAGAATTTCACCATGCAGCAATAGTTTCATTTTCCTGAACTGAGTGCAGCAGTTTCTTGCATCCAAGCTTCGTACTGCACTGCATGGAGTGCAAAGGAATGGGGCTCAAAACAGAGACAGGAAAAGGGACTTAGAAAATTGTTCTAGTAACGCTGACTGTTACATCTCACTTTTCATTAACGTGTGTCCTCTGTCACTGAAAGAACCACTGTGATCAGTGAAAAGCAAAAAACGATAATGTATGACACAAATGCTCTTGGCTACTTGTGATATAAGCACTTCTGATACGATGCTAGTCAATGTGCAAGATACATTTTAGGGAATGTTCCCTATGTGTACAGACCTGTCTTTACCCCTGTAGAGAGACATGAAAAAAGCATATGTATCAATTAATTCTTGCTTAAAAACTGGGCTGAAATCCTCTTGAACGCATCAGTTATGAAATCTTGACTCTAATTTTAGCTAAACACTATAATCTGTTTAATGTGAAGAGGCCCATTCAGCAACACAAGGACTTTCCAAACTCATTTCCTACTCGGTATCTCACTTTAATGTGCTTCAGCTTCTTTCACTTGAACAGGTCTTGTTTTAAACTAATCGTGTGCAGTACTGAATGAGAATGGCTCAATAAATTTGGGCAAAAAGGCTCATCTAACATTAAAAACTAGACTGCACACAGCACCCAGCAGGACAATATTAAGACACATAGCCTTAGAGATTCAAACTGAAACATAATCATACATGGTGCAGTCCTGGTAACAAAAGGAAATAGGAATGTATTAAATAGGCATGTGACTTAAGAGATGAAAGAGATATGAATCTCATAGCCAGATACCCATAAACAGAGCCTCTGAAGTAAATGCAGCTGCACATTATTATCTATATTGCTCTACCAGGCTCTGACAGACATCTGTACCTCAGAAGGTTCATTATGGAGTGAAAGAACAGAATCACAGTTCTTTACACAATGACCAAGTATCTGATCTGCTCCAGGACAGGGCATAGCATTTGCAACAGGCAAAACAGAAAAAAATGCAAGGTTGAAAATGAGCTGCCAATTTACAGAGTGCAAGCAAACTGCAAAGCAAGTGCAATTCATAGGAGGTGTCAGCAAAGTTGCCTTAAAATGTAGTCTGTAGATTCTCCAGCTGCTCTCTGCCTGGCCAGTCTCCATGGTCTAACTCAGAGAGGTGTAAAAAGCTGCTTGAAAACTAGAGGGAAACGCTTGGCACAGAGCCTCAGAAAAGACAGCTGGATGTTGTCATGCACTGGCACATTGCAGCCATACACACTTTTGTCCGTCTGTGTTGGCTTTTCTCCCTGATGCATCCATAGCCATGAAGGAGAACAGTGACACAGGAACTTTCCAAACCTTTCACGTGCACCTGATGGAACTGCCTAAATAGCAGTCAAACACTGAGAGGTGACTGCACGTCCACAGCAATTCCACCTTATTTGCTAAGAAGATACATCACTATCAAGAGGAAAATATAGGTTGAGTCTACTCAAGTGCATGACAGCAGCAGCAAACAGACTTTCCAACACTGGCAAAGTACTAAAAGAAGGTTGTAGCTACATAATAAACAGCCAGGAAGCAGTGGCTGCATACAACTCATAACTGTGAGGTAAAGCTACAGCAATGGTCTCAGACTGCTGTTATTTTACATTAAGGTTACACAGATGAGTTCAAAAGTATTTCCAATTTACACCTTTTCAATTACTGAGAATTACATGTGTCCCTGATATCAAAATAAGATTTATTTCATATATTCATCCAAAAAGGAACACTTCTTGTCTGATGAAGGCCTTTTGTCTTGCTTTTACTAGTATATTTTTTCCGTTTGATGGAAAATACTTTTTCATATGTAAATGCAACTGATCCTCAGGAAAAAAAATCATAAGGTATCAGTAAAAATATTCTGCATTGCTCTTAAAAGCTGCACCACTTCTGATGCACATTATGAACGTCTTTCATGACCAGTACTCTTCTTACAGAGTAAAAGTACATCATTGTGAAATGCATTGGTAGCAGCTGAATCCTCTGCAGTCTCTTCCCCTGTCCTGTGCCTATTAACAGAATGAATTGATGGACCTGCCTCACCCTGCCAGTTGAACTTGTTCTGGTTTCGTCACTAGAACACAGGAGCTTACAGAATCATATGATCACAGAATCAGTGCTACCTCAGTCAAAAACTAGCTAACCAAACCCAAAATTCAAACACTTAGTTTTTCAGAGGTTTTTGTTTAGCAAGGTCGTGAGATTTCTCAAGAACAAAAAGTCCTCTGGGTGAGTTATTCCACACAGGCAACTTGCCCTGCTACAGTTCAGTACGAGGCCATCTGGATCACTGGCCTCCCTAAAAGCACAAAGATCTCAAAAGGACATGCACATTCCAGGTATTCAAGTTCCCACTATCCAAGTGAGAAATTAAAAGGCCAAGCCGCCTTGCTGGAGTGTGGCAGTGTTTGAGCCTAACCCTGAAACCCCATCCCTACCCACAGGAATACTGATGGAGACTTAAGGGTGCAAATGCCAACATGTGTGCCTGAGCGATGACTCAGGATCTCAATTGTGAGAATGTACTATGTTCATAAGCATGAGAAATGTTATATTGCTTCAGTGAAGCCACGGTGATCAGTATCACCTGAGGAGCTGGTGATGGATGTGAGCACTAAAAGCACATTTCTGTGTGTGCGCAGACCAGGCTGTTTAACAGCACCAGTCACAACCGATCTGTTAAGGCTGCAAGGAGCAATGGTGTCCTTTCACAGTACATCTCCTCAGGTAGAAGTGCACTCTTCCCAAGGGCAGTGACAACGAATGCAAAACGTGGCATTTGTAATGATGGTTCAATAGACTGGTGCAGCTCCCAAACTTCGGAAAGCAGTGGACAGACATTTTTGTACCTTTGGGAAACCTGATTTACACTGATAAGATCTGGAAAAGCCCTACTGAGTGATATTAATAACCTTAGCATACTGAAAAATCGGAACACAAAGTAGAAAATATTTCATGCTAGCCCATGAATCTTTTTCTATTTCATCTCCTTGTTTCAATGTTAAAATTGAACACTTTTAGAAATCTTTTTTTTCACATTAGAGCCAACTCCTTCACACCTGGGTGTGTTTATTGTTCTGATTACACTTCTACATCTGCCAATGAAAACTTACAGCACAATTAGAAAAAAAAAGCAACAACAAAGGCCCCACCTCTGCAAATATAATCAGACATGTTCACTAATGCTATCTGACAACACGGCAAGCACAGCAGGTCTTTGTCTGGTTGTATGTTGTGTTGTCCTGCATTGTCGCCACTTTACCTACAATGGCACTCAGTAATACTGACACATAACAGCTTCTATGAATCAAGATGTCCTTCACAAAGTATCAAGACTTTCAATGAAATGCCTGAAGCTGATGAGTAAGTCATTGGGTTCTTCTTCTGAATGATGTCAGTGGCTGTGTAACTCTAAGTATCAAAAGAGATGCTCTACAAAAAAAAAAAAAGATAAATGTTTTATGTTCAATCTTATAAAACTGTACACAGTAACAGTCTACAACATGAAAATGGCCATTAAGTTGTTGTAACGGTTATGAAATGCAGCAAGTATAACAATTCCAACGTTTCACTTACTTATCATTAATCACTGAATTCATACAGTTGTGTTTATATATATTCAATGGTACTGTAAACATAGCTGTTGGAAAACACACATTGACACTCATTAGAAGTTTAGTACTTTCCATTTGAAAAGTTACAATATATCAAGATATGATGGATTAAAAAAAAAAAGAAGCCTTGAAATATAATGCACATTTTGTCATTTTCTAGGATAGAAATTGAGATGTGATAGAGAATATTCCAGATTTGACTATTTTACATTTACACCTATAGTGATAGAAAACTTTAAACATTAAATGTAATTAAATAATACAGAGTTTATGAAACAGTTATTTCAGAGATTCACAATGCCCCAAATCTTGGTTGTGTATAACAGGAGCTCCCATTAACTTACACCTCTCAGTCTTTTATGGAAAATTTAAGTTATTTTCTCTTTAACAACATGCCGACAAACTGAATTTTAACTGAATGATCTCCCCTCCCCACCCACCCCCAAACTGTACAAAACATTCAACTGAAGAAGATGCTTGTATTTCCTGTTGCTGGACATGCATCCCATAGGCCTTCAGCATATGTTTGAGCATTTGGTGATTCCATTTTGTGGGGCAGGGAAACTCAATCTCGATGTTGCTCTCAGTAAACAAAGTGTTCCTAATTTTTGCAATTGTTAAGGCAGCTATGCTGATGTATTAAACATGCTATGTGCTTTTGTGTGGCTTCCTACAATCTAAAGAGTAGCAGTGAAAAGAAATTTCAGACATGCTTTGATCTTCTCGACCATTGAGGAATTTCATCCCGTTGGTCAAAATGCTTCACTTCAGCATGTTTTACAACTGCAGATGTAGATTATTAGCCGCTCACTGGAGAAACAATGCATGTATGGGCTTAGATTTGAAGACTGACCATTCCTTTAATTTATCAGAAAAAAACTTCAACACAACAGCCAATGTGATTCCAGTGAACATAACTGAGAAGAACAGTAACACACGTACACAGTTCTCATGTTCTCTATTATTTCTATCCCATAACTAAAGCTACTTGAACTTCTGTCATCGTTTTCTCTGCATCCTGGCTGGGCTTTGTCAGAAGCTATCTTCACTCTAGGTGAGGACACTTCCTATCTGCCAACTCCAGCCCATTGTTTAATATTCATTCTAATATATCAAGTAAAACAGATAGCTATTTAGCTTTGCTTTCTCTGGGTAAGGCTGCAGGTGTAGGTGACAGTGAACAGAAAGGCTTGTGCAGTGGCTGCAATCGTGTGCAGTTATGGGGGGCAAGGCCACAGAACTGCTAGTGCTGTTAAAACAAAAAGTGAGGAACTCAGGGCTGCACTGCTCCCATTTCCAGTTACGCTGTGTTTAGAGGATGACTTGACAGTGCTTGTGGTGGTTGTGGTGACAATCTTTTTCACAGTTGGTTTTGGTTCATTTCTGTTTTCTGGATGGATTTTCTTGTCCTTGAGTATATCTGAAAACATGAAAGTAAATGTAGGATTAATCACACATCTGGAACATGGAATGGGATACGTACTCTAGCCTGAATAACCAAACTGTGTACAGAGTGACAGGATGCCTATATTAACGTTTTAGTTGAACCCAGTGACCACATCACTTTGCTAGGCACCCACTATTTTGCTCAGGAATTCCAGCCCAGCCTACTGGTAGACAAAGCATAAACCTGGCCACAGTTTAATCCCTTTAAAAATACCTTCATTTTTACCTGGGATAGGAACTGGTTTATGCTAGGGTTGACCAGTTTTGTAACATGCCCCAGTGAAATAACTGTCAAGTTGTTAAGCTACCACAGGAGGAGAGTTGGAGAACATGTTGACTTAATTCATAAGCCAGCTTCCTAGCTGCTTTTTGTATTGCCTTTACTTTAAAGCAACACAGGACTTTTGGTACGGTAGGACGAACTGGCAAGAAAGGCTACTAACACAAAGAACTACATAGGTGTTTGATATGGCCTGTTCATCAGTGTGGACAAATAAAGTGGCCACAAAGAGAAAACGCTTTGAGTTTTGTTCCATCATTTTCCCTAGTAAATACAAGTTTGTTTTTTTTTTTTGTTTGTTTGTCTTTTGTTTCACCAATAAGATATGGAACAGTTGCATGTTATTTATTTATTTATTTATTTATTTTCCATCCCTCCACATGCATTTTGGGGCAGTTTGGGACACCTTGTATGTAAAGGATTAAATATGCAAGAAACTAGTATCAGTAGTCTGTTCTTGCAAAAACACAGACTTTTCAAATGAGAAAACAATTGATAAAAGTCCCCAGTTATCTTTGCAAGCATCACTGCGATCTTACTGCCATTGAGTCCTTCCCTGGCATTATGCAAAAAATCAGCACTTCCTCTAATGATGACATGATCTGCAAAAGCATAACCTAAGTGTCTGGCATATAACTGAATTCTTACCTGCAAGAACTGATAAATTAACAATAATTGTTCAGGTCCAAGCTATAATTTTTTTTTATTATTTATTTATTTATTTATTTATTTTTGTGATACTAATGAATGCAATGCACATACACACATAAAACAAAAAGTGTAATTTTGTCATGCAAATTCAACAACAGCCCAATCTCATAATTAAAAAACAAACAAATAGAACCCCCCTCTGAATCAGAGAAGCAAGTTCTTGGTAGAAACTAGAAAGGCAGAAAGTATTCCAGACATGTAAATGCAATCTGAGATCATTGTCTGCATATCAGTAGTTCTGACCAACCATCAATAAACCCACTTGATAATAAAAATGAGCTATTGTATTAGGAAAGCACACACTGTTCTTGCCAGTATAAACAGCAAAAGAAATGCAACTAATTCTTCCATTTTATCATAATGTCAAGCAGCTGAACACCACACAGCCTTTTTCTCACTGCTTCCCCTTCCCCAATGTTCCATATATACATGGAAATATAAATATATTTATTTACAAAGAAAGTGCTCAAGCTTCTCATTCTTGGTCACCATTTGCTGACCAATGCCCAGCCAGTCCCTAATCAGAGGCAGCCTTCTCAGTCAACTCACCCCAATTTCGTAGTTTTTCCACGTGCCACCATACAGTATGGAATATCCCTGAGGGCAGCTGTCCCGGCTCTGTCCCCTCCCAGCTCCTCACTGGCAGGGCAGCACACGAAGCTGAAAACTGAAGTGCCCTCAGCTCTGTGCAGCACTGCTCAGCAACAACTAAAAGATTGCTGTTACCCACATTGTTTTTCTCCTAAAGCCACAACGTGGCACCACACCAGATGCTATGAATCATCCTTTGCCCAGCTGAAACCTGCATCAACAGTGACCCAGAGGATCCTGTGATTTCTAAACCTGATTCAAGGCTTACTGCAGAGAAGGGACACAGCTGGCAAGGAATGCAGTGGGGAAAAGGCAGTTTGCCATTCTGTTCCAAATTGCTATGGCAAAATGTTCCTCAATTCCAGCTTGCAATGGAGCTAACAGAAGGGGGGAGGAGAAAAAGCACGCTGTAAATATTTAGGAAATACCAGTATTCTGAGGACACTTTGAAAAAAAAAAGGACAACCTTCAGACTGTCATTAAAGTAAATTAAGGATAAATCATGGAAGTAGGTGTTCTCTGACACTGCCTAGACTCCTTTCCATCACTGTCATTTTCCTTTCTGACTGTGGAAAACGCACTGCTTCTCTGCTGCCTCTTATATCATCTCAGTCTGCTGACTTCAGCTCTCTGGGGCCAGCTGATTAAATTAAGACCTCACTCAGGTAAATCTATTCCCCTCTTTCACTTGGCCATGTCCAGCATTGTAACTTGATTGGCCTCTATAAATCGGGCAGACTGAAATGTCATTTATTTTCTTAATATTGACCTAACCAAAAAATCTAAGGTAAGATTTAATGCTATCAGAGAAGCCGTTGGTTTTTAAAAGCTTTCCTCTCAGTGATTGCTTAATGCACTACATAACAAGCATTAAATAATACATTAGAAAATTCTGCCTTTATCCTTTACGTGGAAGGGACTTAACTCTGAATTTTCTCTTTGTCTTTACAGCAGAGTGCTTCTCTGACGGACAATTCTGACGTAGGACTCTAATTAGCAATCTGCTTAAAAATAAATAAATAAGAATAGCCCTAGTCAACACAATTCAGCATCTTTTTCAATCCCATATTCAGTTTCTAAGTCACAAATTTCAGCAAAGATTTCATGTCCTTTTCCAGTTTGTTAAGAGTTCCAGCTGCTTACTGACTCCAGGCTTTTGTCTGAGATACTCAGAGTTAAATGAGTTTTTCTCTCAAACCTTTTTCTCAAAGTCAGGGCTGGTTACATTCAGTCTACTACTGACATTCAAAAGGCAAAAAGATAGTATGGTAATTAAAGTGTCAGTGTGAAGAGTAGCACAGAAATGAAACTCCAGTCTCAACAAAGTGAACCCCAGATGGTTCAGTACCCAAGAATCAACCCCACAAATCATGACTTCATAAAACAGAAGTCCCAGCTTCAGTCTGTTCTGTTTACCTTCTGCATTTTGAAGCTTTGTGCTTCCCAAGTAAAAGCTCTCTCCATTGCTGGGAGCTTTCTTACCATCATCACCCCGTTTCTTTCCAGAAATGGAGTTTAAATCTTTGAAGACTAGCTAACCTTATATAGATGGCCTATGGACCTTGGTATGTGAACTTCATTCTACACTTACTTTTCTCATGTGATATATTCACAATTTATGTTAATAGAAGCATATACTTCTAATAACATGTGTTTTAAGATCTGTACTACACTACGCAGCAATCGCAACACAGCACCTGTGCTTTCCCTTATCCAGGCTTCAAGCATGAACACTCAAATCCTGCCAGAAGGGATACTCAGTGCTGGCAGCTGGCTGCCCAGCAGCCCCCATGAACAGCCACCCAGGACCCCTGCCACGGCCTAAGTCTGCTGTGGTCAGCGAAGATGGCTCCAAGTCCCCTTAGGCACCAGGACCACTGTGAGTGCAGAGCGCAGCTCTGTGAGTCCAAGAGACTGAGTCCCACTCCTTAACTGATCTTTCATCTGCATTAACTGTAGTTAAATTCACAGCTTGACAACATTAACAAAACACATAATTAAAATTACTTGACCTCAGTGTTTAGAGCATTTAGGATTATTTTCACCTCAACAATGCAACTGCAGATTGCTACCCAGTAATGCATGTGCTGGCACTGAACTTCTCACAAATACTTCTGTGAATCAATGCCATTCCTCAAAGAGACTAGCCAGGATAAAAGGGAGACAAACCTGTCATTGCCATCCAATTTAGGTGTGGGAAACCTCCCCTGCAGTGAGGACTGAGTACACCTTCCAAACACATTTGGTGAGTCACACGCTACAGCACACCTTAATCTCAGCCAGTCATGATACAGTGGAAAAATCATGTGGGTATTATTTTTTTAGGTTATTACCAAGTTAGCTGACACGAGGTCAGCAATATTGGCAGCCCAGACGTTAGTTACGCCTCTCTAGCCTAAACCTTTTGCAGTTGGCTGCCCTGGCACTGGTAGGAATTATCAAACTATTGATTGGTGCACTCACATGCTATTGCTCGCTAATGAACAGCATCGGTAAAGCCTACTTAAACATCTGTAGAGGCTTCCTATTGTCCTGCCAAGGGACAAACAAGCTCATCAGCTTAAAAAGAAAGGAAAAAACTTCTCTGATTTTGGCCTTCTCTTGATTTGACTGGAGCTCGGTCCTCTCTGTGATTGCAAATGGTCAGTGTGACAAAGTCTTCTTCCCTAAAAGAAGGGGACAGACTCTTTAGCAGGTTCTGTGGTGACAGGACAAGGGGAAAAGGATTCAATCTCAGGGAGGTAGGTTTAGGGTGGATATATAGAAAAAAGTCTTTTACAGTGAGGGCGGTGAGGCTCTGAACAGGTTACATAGTGTTGTGGTGGGTGCCCCATCCATGGAGACTTTCAAGGCCAGGCTGATCAAATCCTGGGCAACCTGATCCAGCTGTGGTGTCCCTGTGCAGTGCAGGGCACTTGGGCTAGATGGCTTCCAGAGGTTCCTTCCAACTCTAAGGATTCTATGACTATGATTCTAATTACATCAAGCCATACCCATACATTTCTTCCTAGACTTTCCTGCAAACACTCTGCTTTGAAAAGACTGAATGTCAGCATCTACGATGACAAATTAATTCCTGGTTTGAATGTCTCCTGATGGTTACAATGAGACACAGGTCGAAAGTGAACTGGTCAGTCCTTACTTCACTCCCAACCTTGTAGCTCTGCTGCTTGATTTCACTTTGATCATGGTTTGGTTTTGGCAGACAAGACTGGGAGAAAATTAAAACAAGGTGCAACTTGGTGGAACTGGTGCTTAAATTACAGTAGATGCTGCAGTGTTATTACTAGCTTTTTATCACCTCTGGTAGCAAAAGCTGAAATTACTTCTACGTGTTCAAAGGAAGGAACTCTGAAATTGCAAAACAATGCTGTCACCATAAAATGTAACAG